CGCATGTCTTTCTCTATAGTTGTCTATACCAAACTTAGTCACCAGAGCTAATGTGGCCTTGAGAATATAATTTCTCTATCCAGAAATGTCTTCTCTAAGTTGTGAATTCCTATTTTTAATACAAAAGGGCAGTTTATTGGTCACTCTTCCATGAGGCCTTCCTCAAACTCTCAGGCAGGAGTTGATACTGCCAAAATAAATTTTTTATGTTTGTTTATATTCTCTATCATACTAAGTGTGTGAGTGTCTGTGTGTGGAGGGAGTGTGCATGAAAGTGCATTGTGTTTTGCTCATTTGCTTCTTGTGTCTGTTTGTTGTTTGTATGCTTTGCAGGCCTGGAAGGAGCACACCTTGTGGATACTCTAAGCCCTAGCTCGTAGAGATTTGAGAGCATGATGCTGGCATATGACCTCATGGTGATGGCGTCAAAATGATGGAAAAGAGATCACATTGAGAGGACGAGGGGAGAAGAGGAGGAGGAAGAGGAGGAAGAGAAGAGTTGGGCTAGACAAACTTGTTTGATGAACCATTCTTGTGAGAGCAGCAGCAATCCTGCCTAGAATCAATTTTCTGACAAGTTACCCTTTGGAGGTCACACTCAGACTGTAACAGTTGTCATGGTTACTCTTAATGTCTAGGTGATTTCATCTACAAATGTGACAAATCAATACTTTTTATACCCTAATCTATGTAGGGTATGCATACACCAGAGTTGTTTACCTACTTTATGAATTAACGTTTAAATTTTATTCTATCGTTTCAAAGTACAAGCAGTTTATATGAAGACTGTTTTTTTAAAAATATTTATTTATTTATTATGTATACAATATTCTGTCTGTATGCCTGAAGGCCAGAAGAGGGCGCCAGACCTCTTTACAGATGGTTGTGAGCCACCATGTGGTTGCTGGGAATTGAACTCAAGACCTTTGGAAGAGCAGGCAATGCTCTTAACCACTGAGCTATCTCTCCGACTGTTTTTAAAGGTTAGGCTGATGAGATTCTGGGGGACACTGCTCACGGACCTCACGTTTATCCAGCATCCATTACATGCCCTGCACTGTTCTCTTTCCAACATCACCCATTAGAACAGCAAACAACCTGTTCACAAGATGCACGTGAGAGTTTGGCATGAACTTTCCATGCCATAATCGACTTCACCATGAGAGCTACTGTGTTAGGAAGCCTCGCTCCTTGCCAGCTACTGTGCAGGGCATCCTACGGGCACTTATCCATCGAAGGGGGATCAGTTTTCTCTATGTACAAATAAAGCAACTGACTCTTAGGTAGCTAAGTGACCCGTATAGAGGCACATAAATGATAAGTCATGAAACTGAATTCATTCATTCACAAAGTTTTTTTTTTTAAACACCTACTAAGTCCTGGTTATTATTATTCCACAGCTACATTCAGAAGTCATACGGGGGTGATTTAACCAGTCCTGTACTCTTCCCACAGGCATAAATAAGTGAACAAAGACAAACAGATGCAATTATAAATTGTGACAGGTGCTATAAAGACGTTGATTGAGGGCAATGCTTGAGAGTGCAGAGTGTGGCTGGGAAGAGGATGGGTTAAACCGACAGGCCTTTCAGAGGAGCTGACATTCCCCTGACATCGCAAGTCCAGAGGGCTGGGTTCTCCCAGGCACAGCGCACAGCTGCTGAAAGGCTCTGGAGGGAAGATGCTTGGCACAGGAGAGAAAGCCCAGGAGGCTGGTGTGTGTGTGTGTGTGTGTGTGTGTGTGTGTGTGTGTGTGTGTGTGCAGTAAAGCTGCTGAAGCAGAGGTGTCCAATGGAGCAGGAAGAAGGCAGTTCCACCCCTGCAGGAACCCTGGGCAGTGAAGAGGAGCACAGATTGTGTTTGTCCAACAGAGGGACAACCTTCAGGGTCTCAAACAGGGGGCAACGTGGTCTTTTATTTTGCCTCATTTTGCTTTTCGAAGGGCTGGTGTGGAACTTGAGATCCTCCTGCCTCCACCTCCTGAGTGCTAGGAAACCAGGCCTGTTCTTATGTGGGCCTTTAAGTAGTCATTTTGACTATTCTGCAAATGAGTGAGTGGAGTATGGAGACAGGCTGTCTGGACATTTCAGTGTCTGGTGAGAGATGACCAGGGCCTGGAGATAGGCGGCCATATTGAGAAGGAAAGTGTAGATCTCCATACTTCTCCTGCTTCCCTCCCTCCCTTTCTTTCTTCCTCCCTCTCTTCTTCCTCTCTCCCTCCCTCCCTCCCTTCCTCCCTTCTCCTTCCCTTCCCCCTCCTTCCCTCCCTTCCTTCCTCCTTCCCTCCTTTCCTCACTGGCCCCTTTCTCTCCTCTCCTATCCTGTCATCCTCTTTGCTCTCTGCTGGTTACTTGGTGACATAAATGAAATCTCAGTGTGGTTCCAAGATCCACCTATCTTCCTGTGCCATAGAGTCTAGCTCACTGTCTGACAATGGGGATATACTATAAAAATGTCATTTCCAGAGACTCTTTTGAGCTCTCTTGTGTTAGCTTCCTGAAGCTGAATGCTCTTCTTTCAAAGGACCTGCAGACTCCTTTTGCCTCTCGTGACATCAGCCGCACTGATGGCTCACTGGTAAGGCATTCTGCAGGTGGGGGCTGTGCACATTGTTCTGTCTTGGGAGAGCATTGCTCACACTGGCTCCTGACTTCATGCATTTTGCAAATGCACAGCTCAGAGCTTGTGACTTCCTGCTGTTTGTGGCTTCCAGTGCTGCAAGGGATGGCTTTCTATGAGGCCAAACCCGATAGCGGTCTATTATTTTAACATACAAAGAGTTGGGCGGCAGAGGATTAGGGAAGCAAGACAAAATGCATTGAATCAATTGTTGCATTTTGAATCAATTGTTGCATGTATATGCTCCAAAAAATGGCATTTCCTTTCAGAATGTATTTCTCATTGTTTTCTTACTTTTCTCACATCTATGATCCTTTACTACCAGACAATACGAAGCTACAAAGAATGAAACCCACAATTCTACTCACCCAAAGATAGTCGCTGTAATGCCCTATAATATTTATGACTGTAACTTTTAAACAATTGGTTTGGTTTTCGCCAGCATTAAAAATCAATCCTGTTCATTATTGATTGCTTAGGTATTGTATAAATGAGAAAAAGAAATCCATCATCTGTGGTCAGCTGGTGATAACATTTTAATGTTTAAGTTTTTTTAAATGTATATTTTATACAATCAGTTCTATATTATATTCACTTTTGTAACTAGTATTACTATGAACAATTTTTCCATGATTAATAAGTTCCTCATAAGTATTCTATTACATCACTGCATAAAATAGTCATCTGTGGTTGCTACAATGTACCAGAATTCCTAATCTTACAATGGTCACTATATGAAGTACAAACACAAATTCCTAATGATAAAATGGTCACTATGTCAAGTAAAAACACTAGTTCCTAATCCTAAGACAGTCACTATATGAAGTGCAAACACTGCCAACTGGCATTGGTCCTGAGAATATGTGGGTCAGGTGATATTCATGGAAAGGGTCTCATCATTTCCTTCCCGCCGATTTAGTTTTTTTTTATTTTCCCCAGTGCATGTGGTTTCTGAATGAAAATGTTTAACGATCTGTGAGGCTAATTCTCCTTTCCAGGCCCTACGCTGCTTCCATTTAATATTTACCCATCCCGTGCAGGCGCTAAGTCCAGGTACTTTTGTCTTATCAAAGCTGTGTTTCCTCCTCTGCATCCTCTTCCTCATTCTGCCTACTAATGGTACACAGCACCTTGATTTGCAGTACACAGTCTCTGGGTGGAGCTTACGGCCAGTCAGACTGGTCCATATTGTTAGCCACCAAGTTTGGGTTGGGGCAGGCATGTGAACGATCGATCCTAAGGTTGATTCTGGAAGCTATTTGTAAAGAGGATTTTTTTTTTCTGAGGTGCAAGTTGACTGCATCATTTATTCACCAGCTTCTTGAAGCTATTGTGGAGACATGGCGCAAGCATAGCATTGGGTCAAAAACACAGGGAAAAAGAGGCGAAGATACAAAAAACACCGTCTGGGCTCCCGGCCTTGACTGTAGAATCTGCAGGCTTCTCTTTAATCTCCCTTACCATGCTTTGTCTTATTGCTCAAAGCAAGGGTTCTCTCTGGAAATACTGGTGGTCAGATAAATATTAGCACCGTGTTCTTTATAACAAGAATGGCATTCACACCTCTAGCTTATTGTGGATGTGGACACATGGGTTAGCAGAATGCATGTCCTCAATATATGTCCGGTAAACATAGCAAGTGAATGAGGCAGCCAATGGCATGGCATTCTTAACCAATTCTGTTTTGGAGTCAGAATTTTATTTAATTTATTAATTAATTTGTTTTTCTTTTGAGAAGGTGTCTATGTAGCACTGGCTGTCCTAGAACTCAATATGTAGAACAGGCTGTCCTAGTACTTACTAAGTAGATCAGGCTGTCCTGGAACTCACTATGTAGATCAGGCTGACCTGGGACTCACTACGTAGATCAGACTGAGGTTCACCTGCCTCTGCTTCCCAAGTGCTGGAATTAAAGTCATATACAACAATGCCTGGCCTTGAGTCCAGAATCATAAAACCCAGACCAGTATCTAAAAGAATAGATTGGTAAGATTGATTCATGACATTTATTTTATATTTTTTTTAGATGTGTGTGTGTGTGCGTGTGTGTAGGTCAGAGGACAACTTGGTGGCGGATTGTTCTCTTCTTGTATCAGGTGGGATCCAGGGATTCAACTCAAGCAATTACTTGGTGTCAAGTGACTTACTGAGTCACCTGGCCAGTCCAGGACATTTAATAAGACTGCTATTAAGATTTTTAGTCTTTTGCTTATATACTATGGTTTCCGATATTATGTTTTCATGAGTTAATTTTTTGTTGTTTTTAGTGCGTGTCTCTGTTTGCGTATATATTTCTTGTGCCTTTTCTTTGTTTTTATTCTGTCTTTTGTTTATTTGTTTCCTAAGGAAGAGAAAGAAAGTGTGGAGCTAGACAGGTGGGGATAACCCGAGAAGAGATGAGGGAAGGAAAACTGGTCAGAACATATTGCATGAACAAAATCATTATCAAAGATTTTTTTCTTGGTGGAATAAGGTTTAGTGAGTTGAAATGCAAAGTCTCATCTAGTGCTAGAAATGGTCATACCTGCTACTACTGTTTTTCAAAGTGTCACCTCTGAAGACCCAGCACTGCCCTTGCCAGGACTTAGGACACCTCCCTATTTAAACCACCACTGCGTTCCCTGACGGGTCCCTGTCCTCCCTCCCATTGTTCTGGATAGGGGCTTATGGGTGTCACCGACAAGAATGATAACCCCAAGGCATTCAAGTCACAAAACTCATTAATATGTAGCAAAGTGTGGAACCACTACATCTTCTGTTTTGTTCTTAGCTGTTTAGGCCCTTTGTGACCTCAATCCAAAATATAAAACAGTTTCCAGTCCAGGCAATGGCCTTGATATGGGAACAGCTGGATTTCCCAATACTTTGTGCTTAAACAGAAAGACATGATGAAACATCATATTACCTGTAAGCAATTAGCCCTAATATAATAATGTTGGAACAGCCTTTAATATTTCTCTGAGGAAACAAACTAAAGAGGAAAAGTCACTCATTTGCAATCATCCAGGCAGTGAACCCAGGCTTCTGACTCAAATTATTTGCCCTACATTGATTTTTTCCTTTAAAATGTCATCTTATTATATTGAATATATATTCGCACTCTGAGTACAACATGTAAAATGTACAGTGAGTTTGATGGTTAGTTTTAATCGTCAACTTGACACAATGTACAATCACCTGGACAGAGAGTCTCAGTGAAGAACTATCTAGACCAGGTTGGCTTGTGGTCCTACCATCTGGAATTCTCTTGTTTATATAGATGTGGTACTGTGGGAGGCACCATTCACTACGCTTGATATTTGGATTGTGTATTACCCAACGAATGCTAGCTTAACAGTCATCGACCACAGCATCTTGACTGTCTCTGGGGATATTCTCTACCTTGGGTTACACAGGGTTGCACAGCCAGCCATCTGGATGTGCCTTCTATGATTTGGTCAGTTTCATTTTGAGTGGTATATTGTTTGCAGGCTTTGGGCCTTATAAACTATCCTGCAGTAAATTCCCTTATGCAAACATCATTTCTTCGTGAGGCACAATTACAGGGAGCTCAATAAACTCATCGGGAAATGTTCATTTAAAATTCTGATAGATCTTGTCCAATTCAGTACATGATGTTTCACGCTGTCTTTTGCAGTCTATGAAGGTCATATTTTTCCACATTCCTGGTATGGTGTGTGACTTGTTTCTTCAAATCTTTACTGATCTGATTGGAATTTTAATTTGCACACAGAACTTTTAAATTTAAGAGCTTGAGGGGTTTGAACTGCAGTGTGAAGCTGTAAAATTTGAAGCGTTGAAGCCATCTACTTTTTCTATTTTTGCAAAATAATTTACATAGTCCTTTCTCTTCAGCAGAATGATTTCTGAAGTTTGGCATCTTGCAACCCTAACAGACTCCCTAATCTGTGTGCATTCTAAAATAAAAAAGAATCATGTTTATTATATAGACATTAGTCTCTATAGGTGTGATCATATGTGTGTATATAATCTCATTCATGGTCAGTATGCCTAACAGCTCATATGATACATACCATGGCTTCTGTGTTATAGTTGAAGGATAGAGTCAGTCCCAAGTACTTGCTCAAAGTCATAGGCATAGTTAAGAGGCATTCATAGCCTGTGCCACTCCGCCTAGAGCCTGCTTTTTTTCTCTTCTATACCATGTTATTTCTAGATAGGACATAATAGGACATATTTTATACAACCAAACAAATCCCTGAAGTCCAGGCAGCTTATTCTATCAGTGGTCACAGTTAAAGAAAAAAATAAGACTCATCTCCCTAGTTATTAAAACAAATTCCATTTTTAATTCCGGTCTCTCACAGAATATTGATGGGGATCTAATTTCTAGTCCATGACTGCACATCTTACAATGTCCTTCTTAAACACCCGAATTCTTTTGTGCCTGGACAGAGGGCTGGCTTGGAGCACCTCATAGGACAATCTCCTAACCTCCTCTTTTAAACTAGCAAAATTTCCTCATAATTAAACTAGTAGAATTTCTTCTACTTCCTTCTCTGTTGTCTTTTTCCTCAGCCCTCCTTTTTTATTCCCCCTTTCCTCATCTGAAATGAAAACAAACAACACATTCGTAATGAGGCACCTAAACTTATAATTATCCATATGTAAACGGCATTAAGTAGAAACACAAGGTTGCACAGATCTCGGGACCTTTTCCATCTTACAGACTTCATACAGCATCTTCCCATTACCCACTCTACTAGCGTCCTGCTCTCTCTGTAAAAAGTCTCTCTGTTGTGTGAGTGGAGCAGTGTTATATTTAGCATAATGTCCTCAAGGTTCACCTTTCGTCTGTGTCCTTTGGGCTACCATTTCCCAATTCCCTTGGAATTTGAAGAGATATCTTGTTCAATTTCTGTTTCTTAATTTTATTTATGTATCCAGTGGCTCAGCCAAGAAAGAGAATGAAACAAAGTGGCCAAGAACACAGATTCCATTTGGGCACAATGGCTCACACCTGGAATCGCAGCACTTAGAAAATATCAGGAGGATTAGGAGTTCAAAGCCATCCTGGGCCTACATAGCAAGTTTGAGGCCAGAAGGAACTATATAAGACCCTATTTTAAAAAATCCAATTTCTGAATTATAAACACAGAAATGGTTTTTAAATAAATTTTTTAAACACTGATTCTAGCTAGGTGCAGTGGCTCATACCTGTATTCACAGCACTTTAGAGGCTGAGGCAGGAGGATTGCTTCAAGGGTGAGGCCAGAGTGGATTACAAAGTGATTTCTAGGCTAACCTGGGTTACAGAATAAGACTCTGTTTCAAACAAGTAAGGGAGAACAGATTCCTTTATACAAAGACATATATAACATAATAAATGCATATTTATTTACACTTAGAACCACCAACAGTTCTCTTCTTTAAAAAATGTTTCATATATGCTTTTCGGCACTTTTATATACATATACAATGTTTCTTGATTATACCCACTCCATCTTCCCTGACACTCCCACCTCCACCTACCCAACATGTCCCCTCCCACCTTCATGTGCCCTTCCACTCAGCTATAGAATTGGGGACTGCAGACCACCAGACCCTGAATTTCCTGCAGCTGCTCTGAGCATGAGACCCTGAGGGCAGGGGAGTGGGTTGTGATGGGTCTGTAGCTGAAAGATCCCGAGAGCTGGGGCGTGACCAGAGCACTATATAAGCTGCCCCTGAACATAATAAAGGGGCATTCTTGAGGAATTCAAGGATGACACACGTCTCTGTGTGTTTGTTTCAATCTCCAGCCCTTTGCCTGGATTTCTATAGGCATAGTACTGTAGTACACGTAGTACAGGTGCTACAGGACCATAGTACACATGGTAGCACGGACAATACACTATAACCCACAGAACCCAATTAGTGTCACTTGGGTCTTGACGATAGCTGTTTTTATGAATACAGCAATCATGTCATGCCTGAGAGACAACTCCTAACACACTCCTCCCACCTTCCAGCTCTTACTTCTCCTTTTCCTAGGCACTGTTGGAGGGGTTGATACAGATCTCCATCTAGGTGTGAGCATCCATTGTCAATGACCCTCAGCACTGTGACCAGTTATGAGTCTCTGCATTGACTGCCACCCACTGCAAAAGGACACTTCTCTGGCTAAGGCTGAGCGCAGCACAGACTTGTGGGTATAAGCATTCATATAGACAAAATGACCATTCAGTAAAGTAAGATACCAGGTTCCCCATAGAGCTTATGACCTCTCTAGCCATAGGCTTTTGACCAGGTTTGCCATACCAGGCCTGGATTCTCTGCTGTAGCACAGACCTCAGATCCAATCAGGAAGTGCTTGGCTACCAAGTAACATTCATGTCCTTTTTGCACCAGTGGGCACATCTGGCCTATGGGTTGCAATGTAGCATGCAAGGTCAATATACATTGGATTTTGAATAACATTTTAAAGTATGGGACTAGAAACTTCTAAATCACATGCAGAGCTCATCTAGTTAATCTTCTGTGATTATTGTGATAAAAACACCATTACCAAGTCAGCTTACAGAAGGAAGGATTCATTTTGGCCAACAGTTCTGGAGGGACAGCAGTCTCACGTGGCAGAAGCATGCCTGTAGGCCACAGGCATGGTAGCAGGAGCTGACGTCTTCAAACATAAGCACAAAGCAGAGAGAACAAAGTAGAAACAGGAAGAGGCGTTAAGCTTTCAATCTTTCCCAGCCACTAACACACCTTCTCCAGCGGAGCCGCACCTCCTAAGTATCCCCAGACAGCGCCACCAACTGGGGCCAAGTATTTCAATACCTGATCCTATGGGAGACACTCTCATACAAACGGCCACCGTTCACATATCTCAACTTGGGAGACCTAGTTTAGAATGACTCTCAACAGCCAATGCACAAGGTTGGGAAAGACGCCATCAGGACTAGAGAATGAGGAAGAAGAAGACACGTGAGCTAAAAGGGTCCTGAGCACACACTGCTTCAGGGTCACTGTCCTGGAATTCAGCTAGGCTAGACTAGCTTAGCTGGTCAGTGAGTCCCTGGGATCCACCTGTCTCTGTCTTCACAGTGATGACATTAAAAATCTGCCTATTGTGGAATATTATTTTAACTAGACACAGATATGTTATATTTGTTTTTGCTTCAGAATATTACCTTGAGTGTGTAAAAGTGTGTTACTTGATTGGGATTCCCCTGTGTATGCTGTGATAATACCATTGGTGAATAAAGAAACTGTCTTGGCCTGTTGATAGGGCAGAGCTTAGGTCGGCGGGTGAGGGGGAGGAAGGGGGAACTAAACTAAATGCTGGGAGAAAGGAGGGAGAGAGAGAGAGAGAAAGAGAGAGAGAGAGAGAGAGAGAGAGAGAGAGAGAAGCCAGATGCTGCAGTTTTAGCTGGTAAGCCACAGCCATGTGGTGATACACAGGTTAATAGAATGGGTTAAATTAATATGTAAGAGTTAGCCAATAAGAAACTAGAGCTCATGGGCCAACCAGTGAGTTAATTAATATAGTTTCATTGTGATTATTTCGGGAGTCTGGGCAGTGAGGAAACAAAGGAGGGGCCTCCCTTCAACAGTTACTTTTGTTTATGCTGCACTTGTTTAATTTGGTAAAGATGTGTTACATTTGTTTCACCTTGCTTGCCTAAGGCACCTGATTGGTCTAATAAAAAGCTGGATGACCAATAGTTAGGCAGAAGAGGGACAGAGAGTGCTTCCAGCAGAGAAAATAAATAGGAGTAGAAATCTAGGCTTAAAAGTGGTGGGGGCGGGGGTGATGAGAGAAGAGAGGAGAGAAAAGAGGGAGATTCTCACGGTCAGCCAGGCAGCTGCCAGGGAGCAGACACCAGGAGTAGTGAAAGTATGATATAAGAAGGAAAGAAAAGCAAAAATCCCTGAGGCAAAAGGTAGATAAAGAGAAACATATTAATTTAAAAGAGAGCCAGGAAGGAGTCTAAGCAAGGTCGAGCAATCAAAACTAATTGGCTGAGTATTCAAAACTAATATAATAATAAGTCTCTGGGCCATGACTTAAGAGCTAGTTAGAAAAGAAAAAGTCTGATACATCTGCCTTTTTTTTCCTTTTTTTTTTTTTTTTTTTTTACAACAGGTCGGGGGAACTAAACCTAGGCTCTCATGTTAGAGAGGGAAGTGCCTCACTGGCAGCTCTCACCATCTCTCCAAGTGCATTTTTAACTTGGGATTTTAACACTGGCACTTGGAAAATGAGCTACCTTCAGAACCGTGGAATCTCTTAACACTCAAATCTCCAAAGTCCTGAAAGTTTTGGCAGCAAGCTTGGGCATAAAATGGCAAAACTGTTGTCCTAGTCTTACTTGGCATAGATTTGCATATATTTTACTTCAGAAACAAAGTTTTTGATTATAGGACATTGTTCCTGACCTTTCTGGAGTATTAAGTGGTACAAAATGTATACAATTTTTTTTTCCATTTGAAAACCGAAATCTAATTTGCTCCCAAGAGTTCAGAGGAGAGATTATGGAAGTTGCAAAGTGGGCACTCCACTTACAGAGTAACCGGACTGAATTATGGCAACAGGCTCTGTGCGAGTATAATTAATTAACATTATGTCATATTGAATTGGAATGGCTCCTGAATCCAACGACTTGATGCCCTGATGAGGAAGGACACACAGAAGGAAGCCTCGTGACAATACAGTCAGAAGGACTGACGCAGCTGCCCGCTGAGTCACACATGAGTCACACCTACAACAGCCTGCAATCACGAGATGCTAGGAGCGAGGCTGGGGGATTCCCCTCAGCATCTCCAGAAGGAGTTAACTGGGCTGACAAGTTGAGTTCGGGCTTCCGAACACATCGCTTGTGTGTTAAGACATCTACACTGAGTGAGTGCTGTTATAGTGGCCCTAGGAATGAATACCCTAGCCAGAATCAATTGGAATGTAGGAATAACAATAGGAATAATGTCAAAATCTTGGAAGTATTTATTCAGTCAATAAAACATATTGAAAATTTAAATTTCATTGACTTACTTTATTTCAGGTTGTGTGTTTGTTCTGGGTATATTGTGTGTGCATGGTCACGAATGCCACTGAGAATATATGGAGGTCAGGTGACAACTGTGAGATTCAGTTTTCCCCTTTCAGCATATGGGGCCTAGCACTTGAATTCAGACTTGATGGGAAGTGTCCTTACCTGCTGGGCCATCTCGCCAGTCCAAGACTATCTCTTTCAGTAAAAGAGCAGCTGCAGAATTATAGTTTACATGGTGATATTATGTTCTGTTTCATTAGTATTAATGTGATATTCATTATTATCTAGAACGTGTTTCTAATGGAAAACTATCATAAAGAATAGCAGGAATAAATTACGATGCATCCACATTATAGGATAACTACCAGCAAGTCTAAAATTTCAGAGGAACCAAGGCAAAGAGGTAAAAATCTACAATGAATACTTTAAAACTCTGAAGGAAGAAATCAAGGAAGATACAGAAGAGGGAAAGACAGATTGATAGATTTAATATTGTGAAAATGACTATCCTTCCAAAAGCATTTAATTTATGTAGTCAATGCAATCCTGATCAAAATCCTATACCATCCTTTGCAGAAGAGTGTTCAATATCATTAGCCATCAGGGGAATGCAAATTAAAACTGCTTTGAGAATCCTACTCCTAGAGGACACTGGTAGTATATAATGGTAAATATGCTATATATCCAATATAAAAAAACCCTGTGCTTGTGTATAATATATGCATATATACATTGTATATATACACAGTTATCCTACTATATTCTGAATTGATAAGCAATCTACAAGCTAGAAGATCTATTCTGCATATTAACCAGCTGTTCATCACTATATTGAAGTACTTGAAATGAGATACTCATAAAGAAGAGGTTTATTTAGCTTATAGTCAAAGAAACTGGGGCAGCAGCTCGGCATCTCATCACTGGGCAGTAGCTGTGGTGGCAGTGTGTGCTGGGGATGGCACAAGATGGTGTCCTGAATCAAGAACACAGAATAGGAGGGGCCAGCGCCATTTGCTTACAACACTACTGAAAATTCAACCATTTGCGAAAGGAGTAAGTAACCTTTAAGGAAAGACTCAACTCCTCTTAACTCTTCTAGATTCAACCACTTCCCATCTGAGCTGCCCCTGGAATTAAGTCTCCATTAGGAACTTTTGGAGGGACATAAAAATCCTATCTAAACCATAGCACCACAGCTTGGTCTACCTTATGCCCAGCCTATGATTAAGCTATTAGACTCATGCCTGCCCTCTGCCACCTCCTTCCTGCTCTCCCTCTATTCCCTCCTCCTTCTCTTTATCTCCTTACTGGAGATGAAACCTGGTCTTAGCAAGGGCTAGAGCAGCACATTGTATCCCTAAGTCTCCAAACTTCATTTTTGAAGGTCTCTTTTCCCTTTTGGGCAACTCCAGGACATCAACGGCAGCCAGAGTTCAATTCCCATTTCTTCTTTGCTTACTAGCTCCATGCTTTGGGTAATTTTTAAGTTCCTGAACTTAGGGCCTGTTTTCCCATCAGCAAACCAGGAAAATGTAGTAAGCCTCCCACGGGACTATCACAGGAGTCAAGTGGTCAGCGTGTGTGCAGGATTCTGCATAGACCTGCTTAGCTATGGGTGGCCAGATGCACGTTCTCTTCCTAACTTGATTTACTTCCCCTTTGAGAAATCCTCACAGGTCCCGAGGCAGCGGTAGCTGCTCTACGCTCTGGCTCCAGGGATGTTTTCTTCTTCACCCTAAAGCAGGATTTGCAGGGGTGTATTGAGATTTTTTCTTTTTTTGAAAAAATAAGTTTCGCTTTCTCACCTAGTTTGAACACAATGTGGCACTTTCACCTGAATCCCCAGTAGCAGGCAGAGACCCGCAGGTGACAGAACTTAGCAAGAAGTGTTTAGAGAAAAGTGTCTGCCCAGATCTACTCAAGTTGCTATATAGCCCAGGGATGACCCTGAACTCTGGATCCTCCTGCCTCCGCCTTCAAAGTCCTGGGCTTATGGGTATTGCCACCATGCTCTGCTTTGGGGTGACTACACCATCCTCTAACTACAAACAGTTTTTCCCTTGGGGAGGAACCAAGTGCTCTGGTCATATTCTTCCATTAATCATAGTTATTTGCAGGTGTTTTTTTTTCTTTTCCTTTTAATTTAGCTGTCCCCCACGAAGAGCCAGTTCCATGATAGCCGGAATTGCAGCTCATTCACCAGCAGTGTGTTCCACCGTCTGCTTAAGATCCACTTCTCTTGAGCAAGAAGCAAGGGATGTGACTCATGCGGACAACGCACAATACAGTTTTGACCTTTTTTGCATAGGCCTGCTCAGCAAACCACATCCCTGGTTGCACAATGGAGGGGCCAGGGCTATTGTCAGTGCTAAAATCAGTTGGGGTTATTAGAAGTCATCCCACCTTCCTCTAGATAAAACACAGTTCGGAACCATTAATTCACAACACATTTTAAAATCTGGGCCTTTCCATTTCACTGAGATATCAGGACAAAGGGGGAGAAAGGTCATATATGTGCAATATAAAATGCAAACTCTGAACAGGCTGGGAATCAACAGAGCTGATGAAAACATAAAGTAGAATAGGAACCCAGTAACGTGATTGTATTGCTTCCATAGACAGTCTTTGAAACAAGGCTAGCCTTAATAGCAATGAAAATGGCTTACCACATGTGACTACTTAGGACGGACTGCACCATTGATACCGCATGATATCAAAGTTCCCGAGAAGACGGGGAGAAAGGAGACTTTTCCAGAGGCGAGTAGGCATCTTGGTGAATGTTTCATCAACTCAAAAACTGTTTGCTGAGCTTCCACCATGGGCCAGCACTGTGCAAGTAATGGCTGCTGGGTAAAACAACACAGGCCCTGCCCTTAATTTTTCATTCTTGCTATTAAATATTCCACCTTAGCCATATTTATCCTGGTCACCAGACATACTACAAGGAATGAAGAGAATGTTCCTGAAGCAATTCGGATGTTTCAATGGGCATTATGTAATATCTGCGTGACTTTTTGTCAGCTTAATAATAGTGGACTAAAAATCAACAATAAAATTGCAGGTTAGGGCCCTCTTGCTTTGGACTTTTAAATTTCTTATTAGCCAAGTCCACTGAATCAAATTTATTATTGGTTTTGGAACTAAAACTTGTTTGCACCATGTAGCAAAGAGAGAGTGCTTTGGCTCCTCTAGGAATATATATGCACCATTCAGCATGGGGTTTCATGGGAGCTGTTTTTCCTCCTAAATAGCCATATCTCCTCCTTAGCCTTACAGAACAGGTAGAATGAGGCAGGCATTTAGGTATCTTCCGACTCAACCAGGCCCAGCATTTCCTTTCTTTTTATAACCTCTGAAGGTGTTTTCTTTTTTCTGTTTAGCAAATGAATTATATTTATTAGTTCATAACATTTCATTTTCTCATTTTCATTCAAAGCGGGCTCCACCAGTCAGAATATGTGATTATTGTGACATAATTGGAACCAGCAGTAGGCAGTGTGGCTATTGATTTTGGAATCAGATTATCTACGGTTTAATCTTCTCTACCCCACTCACTAGCTAGACAACCTTGAGCAAACCGGGTACCTTGTTATGCCTGAGGTTCGGCCCCCGTGGATTAGTGCCAATGGCAGAGCCTACCTCGTAGGTTTCTGAAAATGCTTGCTTTGTTACAGCCTCCTTTATGATCCTGTCGGACCCAAAGCAGGACAAGCTGTATTTATTTTAAGGTTTCCAAAATCTTATCAGCTTGGGAACACTCGTTCTTATGTCACAAGACTCTGAGGCTCTAGGATCCCAGGCCCACATCTCCTTTAAAAAAATATGAACCTTGAAAGGAGAGAAATGAGCTGTCTGAAGACCATCAGCTAGTCAGGGTTAGCCAGTACTAGAATCCAGAACCTACAGATTAAATTAAATTAAGACTTCTTAAATTAGTTCAAAGTCCACTTGTAAAAGTCCCAAATGTACCTAGACCATGGGTACAAAACAGACACAAAGACCACCAGCTCATTGTTGGACGACTCTGTAGGCGGAAAGCACTCAAATCTTGTCGATTTCCCATGGAAGAACGGAAAACTCCAGGCATATCTCTCTCTCTCTCTCTCTCTCTCTCTCTCTCTCTCTCTCTCTCTCTCTCTGGAAACAACAAATGATCAGAGGTCATTGCTTGTAACTTCCTCCAAAAAATAAATAACAGAAGCTGGGCACGGTAGTGCACGCCCGTAATCCCAGCACCAGGAAAGCAGACACAAAGAGGCTGGGAGCTCAAGAAATAAGTAACCAATTAGACCCTTCACAAATCTAGGAACAAACTAAATTTTAAAATAAATTAAGACCCAGAAGTACAGTTGGCACTATATTAGAACACCACTACTGATATAAAACAACAACTAAACCAAACCGTAAGCTGACCTGGAAGTACACTCTGATGATGGATGTGGGCAACAGCTGCTGCCTACAGGTGTGCATAGGGATGGAGGTGGTGCAGCTGTGGATGGAGGATGGAGGAGCTATGGATGGAGGATGGAGGAGCTATGGATGGAGGAGCTATGGATGGAGGATGAAGCTATGGATGGAGGATGGAGATATGGATGGAGGATGGAGCTATGGATGGAGGATGGAGGAGCTATGGATGGAGGATGGAGGAGCTATGGGTGGAGGATGGAGGAGCTATGGATGGAGGGTGGAGATATGGATGGAGGATGGAGATATGGATGGAGGATGGAGGAGCTATGGATGGAGGATGGAGGAGCTATGGATGGAGGATGGAGGAGCTATGGATGGAGGGTGGAGGAGCGGTGGGGGGAGGGTGAAGGAGCGGGGGCTGGAGGGAGGTACGATGGATGGAGGGAGGAGGTATGGATGGAGGATGGAGGAGCTATGGATGGAGGATGGAGGAGCTATGGATGGAGGATGGAGGAGCTATGGGTGGAGGATGGAGGAGCTATGGGTAGAGGATGGAGGAGCTATGGATGGAGGGTGGAGCTATGGATGTAGGTGATGCTGAAAGGCAGCTATGTTGTGGGAGGAAGCCAGCAAGCCCTGACTTCAAGCCTCTGCCCTGACTGCAGACTCCAGGCTCCCAGCCACAGTCACAGGTGCTAGGTGACCCTCCTCAAACCAGTCTTCACAGTTCACTGGTCCTACTGTAATCAGTTACTGAATACATCAGGGGACTTCTGCGTAACTTCAGAGCTGTGAAACCTGGAAATGGTAAGTCCATCCCCAAAGGCCAGCAGGCAGTTGTATTCGATATCAGCGGACTCCTTAACACTCATTTCTACTGCTGTAGGGATTTTAAACACATATAAACTACGAAGTAATATTATTACTATTAGTAATATATAAGTTTTTAAACTATTTTCTTCGACCAATGATTTTACAACTAGAAATCAATTTTAAGGGGAGAATAAGAGACACATATACAAAGATATCTAAAACTGCCTAACAGTGCTTTATGATAGCAAAAGTCGGGAAATAATTTCAGTAGTTAAAAACAGGGTAGTGACTACAGATAGTGTATGTTTACATAGGAGAAAATGAAACTGTTGTTCTAACTGATAATCTGAGAATAAAGTCAATGATATAAAAAATACTTTGGATCAAATTCCAAGTCAAAAAATTCGGAATACAACCCAGGAGTGATGGTGTACACCTGTAATCTCAGCATTCAGGAGGCTAGGGCCAGCCTGAGCTACACATTTTAAAAACTAGAATAAAAATCTATGCATGTACCTTGTGAGGATATTTATGAGAAATATTCTGTCTTTAGATAGAAGACAACAATGAAGCCAGCCCAAATGTGAGTAGTAGTACATCTAAAAGTAGAATTTACTCTTTTCTTTTTGAAAAAAAAAATTAAGGAGCATTGACTGGTGTGTTTGCCTGCATGTATGTCTACAGGAGGGTGTCAGATCTCTGGAACTGTAGTTAAAGTTTTGAGCTGCAATGTGGGTGCTGAGAATTGAACCCAGGTCCTCTGGAATCATAGCCAATGTTCTTAACCTCTGATCCATCTCTCCAGACCCTAGAATTATACTCTTGACATGAGCCAACAAGCTAATGAACAACTGAGTAGGATTATAAGAGCTATTTATTTTTCTGTTTGTTATATAGTTTCTATACTTTATAATACTTTAAAAATGAACCACATTTATTAACAAAATATGAGCATGTTTACTATGTTGCAAAGAAACCCAGATACCTAGTTCCTTTTCATAGAAACACTTAATAGTTTCTGGAATATTATTCTAAGGAATTTGTGTTATAGAAATAATTCATGTGTCTGTAATAACATTCATTTTTTTCAAAAATGAAATGATACAAAAAACTTTAATTTTTAACAATACATCCTTAAAGTAATTCCACATAAGACACAGGTAGGCCATTATTTTTATTGCTTTTTTATTTTAGGCCATTGCTTCTCATTGAAATTAAACTATTTAAAAATCATACATAAGACTGAAATTACACATATATATGGGGTGCCATTTAATGTTTGCTACATATCTAATGTATTACTATTTCATTATTTCTAATGGCTGTTTAGTGTTCTTTCTCTTTTATAACTATAATGCTATTTATTTACTCTATCCCCCATTCATAGACATCTAAGTTGTTTTACATCTTTGGCTAGCATAAACAATGTTACAATAAACGTGTGTGTGTGTGTGTGAGAGAGAGAGAGAGAGAGAGAGAGAGAGAGAGAGAGAGAAAGGGGAGGTTAGGTATGGGTGTAGAACATCAATCTATACACTGAATTTCTTGTTATAAACTGCTGGGTTAAAGGCTTATGTAATAGATGGGAGATATAAGCCTGCAATCCTAGCACTCAGGAGGCTGAGAGAGGAGGACTTCCCACAAACTTGAAACTAGTCTAGACTACATAGTGAGTTGTAAGAAAGCATTGGCTACAGAGTGAAACCTTGTCTCAGATAACAAAACAAAAATATATTATATGGCAGGAAAAAATGTGTACATGATTTTGAAAAGTTTATTTATTGATAGTTTGTGACCTTAAAACAAATTTTTTTAAATTTATTTATTATTTATTAAAGATTTCTGCCTCCTCCCCACCACCGCCTCCCATTTCCCTCCCCCTCCCCCGACCAAGTCCCCCTCCCTCGTCAGCCCAAAGAGCACTCAGGGTTCCCTGCCCTGTGGGAAGTCCAAGGACCACCCACCTCCATCCAGGTCTAGTAAGGTGAGCATCCAAACTGCCTAGGCTCCCACAAAGCCAGTACGTGCAGTAGGATCAAAAACCCATTGCCATTGTAAAACAAAATTTTTAATTGATTTTACTGAGTTCTACATTTTTCTCTTCTCCCCTTCCTGCCTATTCCCTCCTCCTTAAACCCTCTTCCATGGTCCCCATGTTCCCAATTTATTCAGGAGATCTTGTTAAAACTTTTTTTAAATAACCCTAATTATAATAATCTTAAATACTAGTTTGTAGCTGGGCACATGGTAGTGCAGGCCTTTAACCCCAGTACTAGGGAAGCAAATGGATCTCTGTGAGTTTGAGGTCAGCCTGGTCTACACAGCAAGTTCCAGGTCAGTTAGGGCTACCTAGTACGACTTTGGCTCAAAACCAACAAACCAAACCCTCCAACCTGCCTGTGCCGCTCAGCTACATGCCCAGCTACGTGCACGTTCTCCAGGTAGGTCAGGTTTCCTAGAAGTGGAACATGAGACAGGAATAAGTGTATGTATGGGGGAAGAGACCATCAAAGACTCCTGAAAGGAAGGAGGGAAGCTGGCTAGAGCAGGGCGTGGAGGAGGCAAAGACATATCACTTCAGGGCAAGTTTAGTCCCATCCTTCAGGGAAGGTTTAGTTCCCATCCT